GGAACAGCTAAGATACTGCTCAGAACCATCAAACTCGCAGGCCTCTGGTAGAGGACCTGAGAATGAGGAATAATCATACCACCCTGGAGGAGTGAGAAAATCAATTTAAAATTTAAATTTATATCTGAAAATATTATTTATATATATGTATATATATATATTTATATATATATATATACCGTTGCAAGAAAAAGTATGTGAACCCTTTGGAATGATATGGATTTCTGCACAAATTCACAGTGCAGGTGGAAAAAGTATGTGAACCCCTAGACCAATGACATCTCCAAGAGCTAATTGGAGTGAGATGTCAGCCAACTGGAGTCCAATCAATGAGATGAGATTGGAGGTGTTGGTTACAGCTGCCCTGCCCTATAAAAACACACACCAGTTCTGGGTTTGCTTTTCACAAGAAGCATTGCCTGATGTGAATGATGCCTCGCACAAAAGAGCTCTCAGAAGACCTACGATTAAGAATTGTTGACTTGCATAAAGCTGGAAAGGGTTATAAAAGTATCTCCAAAAGCCTTGCTGTTCATCAGTCCACGGTAAGACAAATTGTCTATAAATGGAGAAAGTTAAGCACTGCTGCTACTCTCCCTAGGACAAAAATTAAACAGCAATTAAAATACTATAAAAAACCATACATGGTCTTATATAAATAAGCAAAACTTCAAATGAAAGAATGTGTTTGGAGACAAAATTAAAATAAAACAGTTTTTCTTCAGTTATTTTTTGGGCTAATATATGAAACAAGGAAACAAAGAAAAAGCAGAACCTAATGTACGTTTGGCATTTAGTATTTATTGAAGTATCACAAGGGCCGCACAGCTATTATTGCGAGAACAGCATTTCTGAAGCTTAGGATTTCCTGAATACACTTCTGACTTTCTGCTTTACATTCTGGGAGTGTGAGCCGTTATCCTGGTAGTCTGAAACTGGGGTTAAGATCTGTGCAGAAAGAAAAAGAAACAAATTAAATATTCTTCATAGTTCTATGAATGCCAACAATTGTTTCTAAATATAAATGTAGAACCTCTACCTCTTGGCCATCTTCTGTGATCCTTAGTGTGCCACCATCATTTCATCTGTACATAAATATACTTGAGTAAAAACATAAGGCCCACACTATATTTTTTGCACTAGTGATAACCAGGTGTTAGTGATTTTTTTTCTTTCACAAAAAATATAACACACTATGCCAAACTCACACAAAAAAACCCTTAAAGATCTGAACAGTGGACATGGAGGAAATTTTAGCCTATACTAGGGAGTGTTTGGGAACACAGTATATCCATGCATGAACCCATGGTCTAATTCTTTTTAGATCTACAGTGAAAGTTAAATGTTATTCACCCAAGCCTACAAAGCCAATTCTGCTGAGGGGCTGAACTAATTAGGCTTCATGGAGGCCAGAAAAAGAGCCTCCTCACGGGTAGAACCGCTTCAGGGTGATGCAGTTGCTTATCGGTCAATTTGCAAGAGCTTCAAGAAATTTAGAGATTCATTTTTTTTATTTAAAAAAAATGGATGCATCCAGCATATTGTCCATCTGAGCATGTGCAAATAGACAGGTACAGAGGTAAATAGGCAGATATATATAAGGAATCTCAATAAAGAGACATCTATAGCAATATGGACTGCCCATACAGGTGGGACCAGTCTGATATGCTTCAGATATGTTCTATCTGTAATGGAACAAGATGAGCTAAAACCAGCTTGAGATCTGAGCGGGGACCCACCGAAGGGCAGACTAATTGAGCAGTTGTCCGTTCTCACCTCTCTTGCTGCTTGTTTTTCTCTCCTTAAATTTAAAGGGGATCCAGACGTGGACCCCTTGTTCACGGTGCCTAGAGGGATGTTGGCTATATTTCACTGATGATACCTTACAAAGTTTAAATGATTGTCTGGGATTGCTGTATCTCTGGTGCAGAGGGAACTTGCTGGCATTTCGGATCTGGACTGCCCGTATGAGTGAGACCAGTCTGATATGATTCAGATATGTTCTCTCTGTAATGGCACAAGATGAGCTAAAACCAGCTTGAGATCTGAGTGGGGACCCACCGGAGGGCATGCTAATTGAGCTGTTGTCCGTTCTCACCTCTCTTGCTACTTGTTTTTCTCTCTATAGCAATATGCCGTCCATTCTGGCTCACTAATCTCCAAATTTTCCTAAAAAACTGTGTTAATTTTGCATATGATTTAATCCTTCCTTCCATCACTTTCACCTATTTGTTTCACCAGCCATTTTCCCATGTTGCATTTGCCCTCTTTAAATATTTAACCTACTATGTCGGACTCTCCCACACAACTTTAAAGAAAAACTATAGTCACCTAGAATATGCCATCTCAACAGAGCGGCCTGGGTGCAGTGTCAATGCCATTTTAACCCTGCAATATAACATTGCAGCTTTTCTTTGTGGAAACTGCAATGTTTGCATGGCAAAGTTAAATCCACTTCAATCAAGAAGACAGCCGCAATAGGCACTAACACTGCACTGACTGAGTAAAACTTGGTCATCTGACGCGGACGCTCAGGTTCAATGCTTTCCTACAAAGTATTTTCATGTTTTGCCAACCTGACTGCTATACATACGAAAGAGTAGTCCTTGCTCTTCTTTATGTATTTTATGAAAACTACAGCAATCAGGAGGCAAATAAAAAGAAATTCATACATAGGGAGCTATATAGAAGCAGATTAGACAACGTTGGTGAAATAGCAGTTTTACGGAAAATGTATTGAAATTTCAGCAGCTTGGTTTGTTATGCCGAAATTTCATACACATTTTATCTCCATTGTGCTATGGGAACATTTAATTAACACACCGATTGCATATCAGACTAATGCCACCCATAAAAGCAATCCAGTACCAAAAATAGTGGCCAAAATAGTAAAAAAACTAAAAGTTAGCATTTAATAATTATAAAGAAACCCAGAGTGAGGAAGATAGACAGATCTATAAGATTAGGCAGAAAGAGGCTAAGCAAGTTATGAGAGCTTCCAAATCAAACACAGAAAAAAAGCAGGACAAAACATTTTTTTTAGATACATAAATGAAAAAATGAAGGTAAAACAAGGATTAATTAGATTAAAAATAAAAGAAGGAATGTATGTAGACGAGGATACAGGTCTAGCCGACTGCCTCAATTAATATTTTTGTTTGATATTTACAGATGAAAAAAAAGGAAAGGAACCTCAGTTAGGAAAAAGGATAAATTAGTAATTTGTTACATGTGAGTTTACAGAGGAAGAGGTTCTATTTCAACTGTCAAAAGAAAAGACAAATAAGTCCATGGGGCCTGATGGAATACACCCAAAGTTATTAAAAGAGCTTAGTGGTGGCCAGCAAAACCATTAACAGATTTATTTAGCCAATCATTGTTAACAGGAGTAGACCCAGAAGAATGGAAGTTAACAAATGTTCTGCCCATTCACAAAAAGGGTAGTAGGTAGGAGTCGGACAACTATATCCCAGTAAGCCTTACTGTAGTAGTGGGGAAGGTAATGGAAGCCATGTTAAAGGATTGAATTGTTGAACATCTAAAATCACATGCATTTCAAGATCAGAGACCACATGGGTTTACTTCAGAGAGATCATGCCAAACTAATCTTATTGATTTTTTTGATTCGGTAATTAAAATAATTGATCAGGGTGGTGCAGTAGACATTGCTTACCTAGATTTCAGTAAGACTTTTGACACTGTTGCACATAGAAGGCTTATCAATAAACTGCAATCTTTAAGTTTGGATTTCAATATTGTTGAATCGGCATGGCAGTGGCTGAGTGACAAGCAACACAGGGTTGTAGTCAATAGAGTAAATTCGAAGCATGGTCTTGTTACCAGTGGGGTACCTTAGGGATCTGTTCTTGGACCCATTCTCTTTAGTATTTTTATTAGTGGTATTGCAGAAGGTCTTGATGGTAAGATATGCCTTTTTTCTGATGATACTAAGATATGTAACAGGGTTAATGTTCCAGGAGGGATAAGCCAAATTGCAAATGATATAGGTAAACTAGAAAAATGGTCAGAGCTGTGGCAGCTGACATTTAATGTGGATAAGTGCAAGATAATTCATCTTGGACGTAAAATCCCATGGGCAGAGTTTAGCATATTTGATAGAGTCCTAACCTCAACATCCGAGGAAAGGAATTAAGGGGTAATTATTTCAGATGACTTAAAGATAGGCAGAGTGCTGGAGACCGTGTCTCCAGAGGTATATTGATAACTTGGAGAGAGTTCAGAGAAGGGCTACAAAACTGGTTCATGGATTACAAGATAAAACTTACCAGGAAAGGTTAAAGGATCTTAACATGTATAGCTTGGAAAAAAGACAAGACAGGAGGGATATGATAGAAACATTTAAATACATAAAGGGAATCAACACAGTAAAGGAGGAGACTATATTTAAAAGAAGAAAAACTACCACAACAAGAGGACATAGTCTTAAATTAGGGCAAAGGTTTAAAAATAATATCAGGACGTATTACTTTACTGAGAGGGTAGTGGATGCATGGAATAGCCTTCCAGCTGAAGTGGTAGAGGTTAACACAGTAAAGGAGTTTAAGCATGTGTGGGATAGGCATAAGGCTATCTTAGCCATAAGATAAGGCAAGGGACTAATGAAAGTATTTAGAAAATTGGGCAGATTAGATGGGCCGAATGGTTCTTATCTGCCCACACATTCTATGTTTCTATGCCAACAGATACCCTCTGCACCAGAGATGCAACAACTCCAGAAATTGTTTCAGCATTCTTTGATGTAAGGTTATATTTATCTCTGAATTCAGTTGTAAAAATGTGGTACAATAGTAGATCTGTAAATGCATGAGACAGACTTACATACAATAGAAGAAATTGACAATGTACCTTTATAATTTCGCACCATTCACCTTCTCCTGCTAAGTTGACTCCACGTACTCTGAACAGGAGCTCAGTGTTGGGAGCCAAATTGTGTAGTTCAATGCTCTGCCGCTTTATTCCATTTATCTTCCCAGTAAGATCTCCAAAGTGTTGGCTTCCTGACCAGTCCGAGTTAGTGATCTCTTGAAACTCAACATCGTAACAGTCGACAATCTCTGGAGGTGCTGTCCAGAATAGCTGTAAAAACATGAAATTAGAGAAGTGGCTTTTAATAATAATAACAATAATAATAAAACAAACTCTCCCATGTTGAGCTGCAAACGTTTTGCTCATTGACGAATAGAATAGCCAGGAACGAGGAAAGTTCTCAATATAACCAATGTAAAGAAAAGTTTGGTCTTTTCATGCAACTGACTTGAGTGACCTTGCCAGGTCTCATTAGATTTTACAGCCAGGCACAGTTTGAAAAGTAGGAGATAAGGGTGGAAATATTAGCAAAACATGTGGCACAGTCAGAGACCATTTGCCAGGGGGTACACTGCTTAATGTTTATCCCTCTGGCCAAATCCACTGTGTGGCATAATGTTGGTTAAATAAAGTATAGAGACCATATCGTTGAAACTGATTGTGTCATGAATTAGTGGATGGTGAGGTGGGACATATGAAGAATGGATCAGTTGGTTTATCGTTCTCTGGATAATTAATTGCGCCAACCAATAATTTTTATATCAAGTGCAAGATGAGTTCCTATTCCAAATCTACACAGTCCCACCAAATTCAAAGTTAAAAATAGATTACTCTGTCATTTACTCTGTCAGATTACTCTGTCATAGTTAACTAATTCCTAAACCCTTATTTATTATCTCATAAAAGTAAACACTATGTTATTAACCTCAAAATAATCAAAAGTGACGTACCTTAACTACATTTGGATAAGCTAAACTCTGGTAGATAGAAACTGGACTGGGAGGGTACCGTGGCAACATGCCCTTAAAGGATGATGAATCCATCATATCATTTTCTGTATATGTGATCTTATCCTCTTTGTTCATAGGGTGTCTCAACATTGGAGGTGTGCTCTTTGGTCTCACTTGGTAATTTTCGTCTGCTGTTTTCACAAACTCATTTTTGTTATTTACATTATCATCATTTGAAGTCAGATTGATGGAGGATTTAGAGGCCACCGAAGGAATGAAAGATGTCTCTTCCACTTTCTCCTCATCCTCAGCAATATATGGTTGTCTTGTCAGATCATCCTTCAGATTCATGAGAACATTTGGCTGTGGGAAAAGAGCACGCAGACCAGAGGCAATTTCTTCAAAGTTGATTTGAAAGTTTTTAATTGGGTCATATTTTAAACTGCTGACAGGTTGGTAGAGTCTGGCCACCTCATTTTCTATTTCCTTGACTAGATCATTGACCGATTGCAGGAATGTGATTGGATTTTCCTCTTGCAGAGCCTCCTTGGAGTACTGTACTATACCTTCAAAGGTCAGGAGCATTTGGTTAGAGGAGCTCAAGAACTGTGTCAGTTGAAAATCCTTCCTAGATTCAATGCTTTGAATGGAATTTAAAATATCTGTCTCTTGCAAGGTAAGAATCTCATGCAGTTTTAGGAATCCATCTCTGATTTCATGTATCTTGTCTCCCTTGAAGCCCCGGAAGTTGTCATTCACCAAATTAATTTCTATAAGGTCATTTTCAAATTTGCATTTAGCTGTAAAACAACATATTTGCCATCATCATTAATTAAAAAAAGTATTTCTAAATTCCATTTAATGAAACTCTAGGTAACTTGCTAGTTTTGTTGGATATTTTCTGTGGCAGAGATGGATTAAGATTCCACTGGGCCCTAGGCAGTCTATTGATTTGCCCCTCGACACTTTCATTGTTCACATAGGGATGGTGAATGGGGCAAATTACATTCATGGTTCTAGGGCCATGTCAAACCCCTTTTCCTCAGGTTAATCCTGCACTGCTGAGTAAATACAAAAATAAAACCAATTTATTACAAACCTGTATCTACAAGAATAGTTTTACGGTTTCACATCACTGGCGGAAGTACTGTTGGTGCGGCTGCACCAGAGCTCTCAGACATTGGGGGCACATTGGGTAGCCTATCTACTTAGGACCACCCGATAAGCAGGCACATCCGAACAGGGGCCCTCTCGGGTGCTGTGGCCCTTTATCAGCACAACCAGGTCCTTTTAATATCGACAGTCGGTGCTGAGAAGCAGTGAGACCATGTCATTTCCTCCCAGCTTACAGACCATGAGGAACAGAGAGAGAAGGAGGGAGAGCACTGCAGTCCGCCTCATACTTCACCATCTTCAGGCAGCCCTAAAAGCCACCCTCCTGCACCCAAAGAGTGGGGATGTCTAAAATATGTAAATTACCACTTGTGTGTGTCACTGTGGGTAGGTATGAGTATCTGTGTGTGCCAGTAGGTATTGTGTGTGTATGTGTAAGTGTGGGTATACGTGAGTATCTGTGTGTGTCAGTGGGTATATGTGTATGTGTGGTGTCAGTGTGGGCATATGTGCATGTCTGTGTGTCTCAATGTGTGTGTATATCAATGTGGGTATATGTGTGTGTCAATTTGTATGTGTATCTGTATGTCAGTGTCTGTGTTAATGTGTATTTTTGGCAAAAAATATTCTTGTACCAGGGCCCACTCTATATTAATTTCTCCATGGTTTCACATACAGGACCAGATATATAAGGCATCCTGAACAATCCTTTATAAACACCATAAACACTAATTGACAATGTACAGTTTCTTATAAACAGGTTTTCCAGTCATATATTCATAATATTAAACTTTTACTAAACAAATGCATCTAATATTAACACTCCTCTCTAATATCATTAACCTATGAACTTAAATCAAACATTAGTAAACAATTGATAATGTATCCTGATTGGAATCGAGAGACAGTGAATGTTAAAATGAAATACTCTTGAGCTCAATAGTCCAATATAGTGAGTTTAAAAATGAGAAGAAACATTTTTTGCTTACAAAGGCTTTTCAGCTTCATTCCCTCGGGCTGAAGGTTTTAGACAAATAAGTGCATTAATTATATTAATATGTGACAGATGTGCCACTAATATTTAATTTTCATAAGAACATTTTAGTGTGTGTATGTTTTTTTTATCGTGTTAAAAACAGACATTTCAGTGATTTTTCATGTGCACATGCGTATTTGCTATGTTATCACTTTCAATAGATTATATTGTAATTACAGAGCCTATTAAGCCTTTAATTGGTATAAATGATTAACACAGAATTGTTGCCAATGTTGCTTGTACACGTCAGCAAGTCATAGGATGTGTTTGTGATGTTTGTTCTACTAATGTGCTAGTACAACAATACTTTGGGGTACCTGTTAGCTGTAAGAAAAGTTTTGTTCAAGTTCTTTTAGGTGATAAATTGGATACGTTTCTACTGGTGCTGAAAAAAATGGATTGTGATCTTCGAAACTTGAGCACTTCAAATAAGACATAGAAACCTTTTTCACCAATCCAATAATGGTAAAAGTGCTGCTGAAAAGCATTTGAATAGTGGGACTGTGATCACTTTAACATCATTAAAGACTCATCAGCAGCTATTAACATGTTAATTATCAGATATGAGGGTGTAATTTACACTAATCATACAGACTATTGGAATGGATTGATCACTTAAATGTTTTGCTCTAATCATGGAGTGGCATATGTGACTTTAAATCTATGTCTAAATCCTAAATCAATTTTCATTTATTTTATTTAATATAGCCAGAATTTATTTGTGCTGTAACACTTTTTAACTACTTCTGCTGTTCCTGCAATATATGATGTATCCCACCCTTCCATATCATTTTGGAAGATTCGCACAGGGTTATTTACTGATAATCACTACACAAACATAATGCATTTTACACTAATAACGCACACCAGTGCACC